ACACACACATTATGTATTTGCAATAGAAGATCTTTTTCAATATTACCAATTTAATCATAAATGTTGAATTTATATTATCATAATGACAAATAAAGAGGGCAGCTATATGTAAAATTATGGGAAAGGGTCAAAAAATAAATCATCTCATCGTGGTTTGGTTGTAACATCACACCCGGAATGGTTAAAAATAACAAACAAAAATGATTAATCAGGGTTAATATGTGCATTTTCAAATTACACTGGTGTTTCTTACATTCAAAGTAAATGTTTTTCAGAATGAAATTGGAATGCAAATTAATGCACCTTTTTGAGGAATACTACACAAAAAAGTACAATGTTATTATGCTTCTCTGTTTATGGACAGTTGTTTTCTTTTATAGTACCTTGGAGTACCACATAAATGAATATGACTGAATATATTATTAAACAAGATGATATATCAATGGTAATAATATATTTAGAATATTTAAAGAACTATAGCAAAGTCTATTTTAATGGGTTAATTTGATTCCTAGAATGCAGCATGCGCAGGTCCAGCATGGGGAAACAACAGCACCTTTTCGACCTGAAACGCCCATGGCCAAGACACTGATGGACATCGGCACCAGACGGATCTTCTCAGAGGAGCATGACCTGTTCCGTCAAAATGTGCGGCGGTTCTTTCAGGAGGAAGTTGTTCCATATCACGCTCAGTAAGTCACCAGTGTGGTTCATTGCTCTCTCATCCTGAATATGACATTATAGATACAGAATGAAAATGTGTCTCAAAATATATGGTTATAGGTGGGAGAAGGCTGGAGAGGTCAGCAGAGAGGTTTGGAAAAAGGCCGGAGAACATGGATTACTGGGAATATATACACCTGAGGAGCATGGAGGAATCGGAGGGGACCTTCTTTCTGCTGCTATAGTGTGGGAGGAGCAGTGAGTAGCCCTGCCTTCACCTGTTTATCACAGTAGCTCCTCCCTTACCTGTCTGACCCTTCAGTGGATTAGGCAAAATTCTGAATTTTAAAACTGCCTTTCCATTTTAAATCATGAGTGTGAATTTCATTGGGACATCCCACAGGAATTTGAATTTGAATGACAGGAAGGTGAATTTACTAAACTGTTATTCAGTGAAATTTAACACAGTTACACAACAGGAGTTATGCAATAAAATATAAAATAAATTGATTGGGCTGATTAGACATCTGAAAATGTAAAATAAAAATATATTAAATGTAATAATAAAACAGAATATTGAATAATAGAAACAAATGAATACAGACATAAATTTAATTTCAATATTATTAATTAAAATATATGAATTAAATACACATTTCTACAGGTGACATTTTAATCACTGATTACTGATATCATCAAATGTCTCTGGAAATACCTCAAGTCATCTGCTTGATATGTTTTTGAATAATTATTTAAAGGCACAATATGTAAGATTTTCATAATAAAATATGCAAAAACCACTTACACGGTGTGATCTATTTCATGCAGTTGTGTTCTTACGTTATACCAGAAGTTCCCAAGGATTTGTAAATCTAGAGAAATTCCAATTTTAAATAATGGCTCGTCCTGGTTCATTGTTGCCCATCAATGACATAATATCCACTTGTAGAAACTATGGCAACACACTTGGACAAAAATGCTGCTGTACAGTTAAACTAAATCCTTTACGGCTGTCGGAAATAAAATGAAAATAAAATGAAAATTGTTGAATGCATCATTAAATTTAGATCTGCTCAATGTTGCTCCATGATTCTTTTTCCGCGTTTTTACAGTGTTGTGCATTTTAACCAATCACACACTAGTCTGTTGAACTTTTAAATGCAATGACAAAAAAGAGGTGTTCAGATAAGTCATCGCTGAAACATTTGAGTTTCTTGTTCAGTGCGCGCGCTCACTGACTGAATTCTGCTCTCTCGCGAATTCTCTCATCATAAATAACAAAATGCAGATGTACGTATGATGTAAGTAGGAGATTCATTCATCAAACAGTGTATAGACAGCTTTACTGATTATAAGCAGAGTTTTTTGAGAGTGCTCACTGCTTAAACTTGCGCTAGGCTTAAGTCAGTCATATACTGTTCCTTGACAATGTAAATGTTCTTTGCTCGCTTTCTCTGTATAATTTATTCGCTGTTTGAATAACTTTGGAAGGTACAGGTAATAAAAAAATTAATTCATTACATCCGTGAACATGATTCGGACATCTCTGGATGGTGAAAACGACATCTCCCATCATTCCACTCTCCATCATCAAGCTTCGCCTTTGTTATTGTTTTGAAAATGCGACCTCTAGCGGCGAAAACTTACATATTGTGCCTTTTAAAAATATACTTCACATTGAAATGCATCAAAATATGGTAGTAAACCGGTTACATGCTTTAAACTTACAGCATATGTTTTTTTTAATCAATTCAGTTGTAATTCTACTTCCTTAATTTCAAATTTGAATTCCAATCTTGTGTTCTGCTTGCTGCCTCAGTTCAAATTTAGAATTGAACTGGAATTTAAAATGCATTTCATTTTTGAATGGATCACAACCCCTGAATGTATTTAGGTTTTTTCCTTGGCTTTGTGTGTTTGTGTGTATAATGTAGCAGGTGTTCTGGCTCTGTTTGTGTTGTAGAATGTACTGTAACTGCAGTGGTCCTGGGTTCTCGCTCCACTCTGAGGTTGTAATGCCTTATATCAGTCACTATGGCTCCAAGGCTCAGATCGAGCACTATATTCCACAGATGACTGCTGGGAAATGCATCGGGGCCATCGCTATGACCGAACCTGGAGCCGGCAGGTGGGCTTCAGTGCAGGCATGACATTAAAGAATAAATTATACTTATAAAGATACAAAGACACTGACTCCCAGGGTGCATCACATTTTAATGCTTGCAGAATATTATTGTGATCTATTCATTTGTTCCTTGTGTCGTGCTGGTTTACATCTTTAATTTTCTCTCTGAAGTGACCTTCAAGGAGTGAAGACATTTGCAAAAAAATATGGCACTGACTGGATTATTAATGGGAGCAAGGTATGAACAGTGGCTTCTGTGATGCAGAGAATTTTTCAATCAATCAAATAAAAGTAGTGAATGATATCACAACAAATCATGATAGAAACAACCTTCACTTCTGGATCTACTTGATTTAAGTGCTGCCTTTGATATACAAGATTCTTTAAATGAACATGTTGGCATCAATGGAATTGTTTTTTAATCACTTTATCTCATATCTTTGTGAAAGGGGTTTTTTGTTTTGTTTTGTATTTTTTGTATCTATAAATGTCAACTCAGACACACACTATGAAGTGTCATGTGGGGTACCTCAAGGATCGATTTTAAGAACATTACATTTTGATTTGTATATTCTACTGATTGACTCACTTGCTAACTGTATTTTAGTTAGCAAGTGAGTCAATCAGCATACATTTCAGAGTGAAACAAAATATATTAGGACTTAACCCATGTCAAGGAGCAAACATTTATCATTTGAAGAATATTGCTCACGGTATACGGTATTATCACGATATTGAAATTTCGTTTTAAAAAAGTGCTGTCATAATACAGTATAACAGGTTTAATAACTTTTTTCTTATAACAAAAATAACTGAACATTTAAATGCAATAAAGCAATACAGAAAAATTTATAAAGTTAAAAGTTTTACACAGATTAAAGTGCAAAAGAACTATAAAGACCAATAGGTATCACTTTACAATAAGACCTCATTAGTTAACCTCAGTTAATGCATTAACATTCACAATGAGTAAGTCTAGACTTAAAAATGTCCAAGGAAGGAGCAGATCTCACATGATAGGGGAGACCATATGGAAACATAATGGAAAAAAATGTAGCATGCTTTTCCTTGCAGATAATTGATCTAATATCGATTATTTTCTCCTTAAAGGAGCCAGCTAATTTTTTACATTAATAAAAGCTCAGTACTGTAGTTAATATTCAGTAGAATTTTCGTGCTTTTCTTTTTGGGGAAAACACCATAAATATCATAAATTAGTCCACACGATTCTTGCACTGTTGTCCAAGTCTTCCAAGTCATGCATTTTCCTGTGAGAAACAGGATGAAATATAAAGGGGTCATAAACTGCAATTTTTATTTTATAATATTCCTTGAGGTCCACTTGTAATGTTTATGTTCAGTGTTTACATCAAAATAAATAAATAAATAGCTTTGAGTGAATCTTCTGTCAATTAGTTGGTTAGTTATTTTTTTCAATTGTTTTGAATTTTCCATCAGGTTTTGTTAAACCACAGTCATCTACAGTACTTCTGTCACTTTCTTTCAGGTGTTCATCAGTAATGGCTGGATGAGTGATATGGTGATTGTAGTTGCTGTGACTAACCGTGAAGCAAAGACAGCAGCTCATGGAATCAGTCTGTTCCTGGTTGACAGCGGCACTAAGGGCTTCAAAAAAGGCCGCAAACTGGAGAAGCTCGGACTCAAAGCTCAGGTTCCCCTTAAAGCTTTCCATATACATAACCTCTGTTTAAATGCAGTTGCCAGCTTGTGTAAGAGTTCACTTAGAATTTATTGAAACATGTAAGAATTAAATGTATTTTATAGTTTAGTATAGATTAATAAAGAGGTCTAGTTAGAAATGTATTGGGTCTTTGTTTCTATGCAGGATACAGCTGAACTGTTTTTTGAGGATATGCGTTTGCCCGCTGAAGCTTTGTTGGGTCAGGTCAATAAAGGATTTTATTATATGATGAACGAGCTGCCACAGGTATATCAGTTTTCCTATTCTCTATTGAGTTTTCCTATTCTTATTTTTGACAATACTGCAACAGATTCAATGGTTTGTGTGTTTGTGGTAGTTGTGTGAATGTATCTCTGAAGTTGCCTCCGTGTAATGAGTGATAAAGTAGTGATTATAAGCACAGTGCTGCTTTTTTAGAAGAATTTACTGAGCATAAATTAGTATTATTTGTATTATAGAGTTAATCTCCCAGTCTTTCTAACAACCTGCTGTAGGACCCAATCAATTCCCCCTCACATATTGCATCCGCCTGTGAAAATCTTTTGTACATGGATTGCATTGTCGGTATAAGATATCAAAATATGAGGGGTTAAGATTCTGGGAATTTCAAAAGCTCTACAAATAGGCTCACACTCCATTATAATGAACAATAATAGGAATAGGGAGAGATTTCAGCTTGTTTCTTTCTTTCTATGTCACTCTGCAGGAGCGCCTTAATATAGCAGTCATGGCCCTTGCCAGCAGCGAGTTCATGTTTGAAGAGACAAGGAACTTTGTGATGCAGCGGAAGGCATTCGGCAGGACGATCGCTGACCTGCAGGTAAATATAAAGGGGTCATGTTAAATTAAAAAAAAAAAAAAAAAAAAATCACCTTTATTTATTTTTGTATTTATTTGAAAGTAAGCGAGTCCACATTTCTAACACAGTATTCCTAATTTTTGTTGATAATGATTACAATATTAAAGTAAATAAAAACTCAGAAAAATGGTCCCTTTGACCATTTTCAAAGAAGTGGTACTTTTTTTTTTTTTTTTACAGACATGAGACATCTTGTCTGTTCAAAAATAATAATTAAATAATCATTTAATTTTTGTTATCAGTAATTAAATAATCATTTAAATACTGTTTTATCTATTATATCAGTTCTTCATCATTTTTTTTTCAACATAAACAATGAAGCTTTTCTGTTTTAAGCTGAGAATAAACAGTGTTTCCTTTGGTTCTAAAGTCTTTCCATCATACAGTTTGTCCCATTTCATGTTAGCCTACAGAAAATATTTCTGGAAGTTATAAATAAATAATACAAATAATTAACATACACATTGTTAATCCAGATATTATTCATACAGTAAATTCCTGAGGTAATGTTATCCTATAATTATTTTATTTTATTTTATTTTATTTTATATATATATATATATATATATA